CAACACGCATCAGCATATATGTCCACTGACTGCAGACCTGCCTCTGGGTTTCTGGAGTTGAGAGCCTGGAGGTATCAGAGGGTATGTGAGAATGCTTTGTGATAGGTCAGGGCATTTGTGCAGGAGCAACAGTTTATTCCATCATAGATTTCTCTGAGAGTCTTGGCTTCGAGTTGGTATTTCCAGTGTCCTAGCTGATAGATCTTTTGGTGGAGGAAAGGCAGATACAGTCAGTCCCCAAGCCACCATGGTCTGGGGACATGTCTTCAGGTAAACACACATAGCTTGGCATCCAGGTAAGGCCACATGATTGGACAGACCTTCCAGAGACTATTGGATCTTGGGCAAGCCAACAGTGGCTTTCTGTGGCTGTTCATCAGTCCCATAAGTCAGGGGAAAGCCACTCTTGGCTTAAGCACAGTCAAGATTTGTATGGGGGTTGGTCCTGCCCTGAAAGCTTCACGAAGGCTACATGGAAGCCCAGTGCTTGCGCACAGAGAGCAAGTGAGGCATGAAGCAGGGAGTGGAGTGTTTGCCTTTGCTCTTGGGGAAGGCAGTCTTTATGTGTCCACCATGATTGCTCGTCTCCAGTGTCTCGCCCAAGAACCATGCTGTTGCCAGCTGTTGCCAGACTGGTCTCCTTGCCTTTGCTTGGGGAGAGAAGCATACCCACTCTTGACATGCAAAGCATAATCCTTTTTTAAAACTCAGATTTTATCTTCAAAGATAACGCCTGGATATTTTAGCAGAGGACCAGCCTCCCTCTCCCCACCATGATTTGCTCTAATTCCTCCTTAGTAGTTTATTCTGGCTTCCACATTCTGTCCTTCTTACAGTTCTTTGAATGTTCTTTTCCTCACAGCCTGTATAAATGCTGCTCTCGTTCTCAGGAATATTCGTCTCCTGCCTCCCTGCTAAACTTATCTTAACTTCTTAGCAGCCTTCTCTGAACCCTGAGGACTGGGTCCACTGTCTTCACCCCCACTTCTCCATATGTTCGTGTAACTGCCCTCTCTTCCCTTTCCTGGTAACGGCTCACCCTAAAGCACCCATTGCTACATTAGAATTGCCTGTTTAACTCTGAAAGTAGGACCTGTCTTTTCCTTCTCTGCAGCCCTACCATCAAGCTTAAGTACTTACTCCTTAGATGAATGTGTGGGAAAGGGAGGAACAGACCCTCTGCTCCTTTCCTGTCTCTGGGACTGGCTTGTTCTTTTTTCAGTGATGGCATTACTAAGGTATAATTATGTAAGATACAGCAAGATAGAATGGAACACACCCGTCACCTATTAAAAATATATTCAGTGACTTTTAGTATACTCGAAAGTTGTGTAGTCCGTCCATGTTGCTGCATGTATCTGTACTCATTCCTTTTTATCACTGTACAAGAGTCCACTGATAGTTACCACACATTTTATTTATACATTTACTAGTAAGTGGACAGTTGGATTCTTTCTTCTTTTTAGCTATTGTGAATAGCATTGGCATACATAGTATAAAAGCTTTTGTGTAGACATATGTTTTCATTTCTCTTGGATATATATGTAGGAGTAGAACTGCTGGGTCATATGACAATACTGTATCTTGTTTTCCATGATAACTGCACCCTTTCTGAAACAAAAATGTAAAAGAATTCCATTTTCAGTGAACATTACTATTTACTCTCTCCTAGCTGTCGTGTAATTGTGAGCACTAGAAAAAGATTTTAATAGCCTTGGAGAGCTGTCTAACACATAAGACATTCCTCCCTGATACCCAGATCTACCCAGAGGAGCAGGGCTTGTTGTATAAAGTGTCTGATGGTCACGCCTTCCTTTCCTCTCCTCTGAGGGAACTTGGCCATCAGCCTGTGCCACCTCCCCACTTCTCCTCACTCTATCCCAGGCTGACATGCCTGCTTCAGCCCAGGCTCCTATTCTCTCTGGACTGGTCAGTGTTGGCTCTGCTTGACTGACTTGATCTGCCACAGTCAGAATTACTTGCACAACCAGGAAAGGCTTCTCTGTTACCTTTGGCCAGAGAAGCAGAATTGGGAGGAATCTGCACACAGTACTGGAGGAGTCTCTCCAGATTGGATCGCTGGGGGATATCTCAAAAGGTCTGACTGTTGCAAGATGGGTGAAAAGACCAATCCTATAATAACAGTGGCCAGTATTTATTCCTAGCCGATACATGTGCCCGGCAATGCCTTTTCTTGCATTGTCTGACTTAATGCAACCCACTGTTGTCCTCCCCATGACCAAATGGGGAAACTGAGGCTTAGAGGTATGATTTTCCCAAAGTCACATAGCTAATAAACGAAGAAGCTTTCATTTCCGGGACAAAAAGCCACTACCTGTGTCTGTCACAACTATAATTTGCCTAGGCCAGACAGTAAGTGCTGAGTGAATGAAGGAAAAGATTAACTGGATGAAGCTGCCCAGTGAACAGGACCAGGAATTGGGGCTGCTGTCAACTGTGAGGGATGGTGGACTAGCGTGTTACCTAAAGAAGCCTAGAATTGACTTTTCTATAATCCCAGAGGAGGAAGAGGAAGACTCGCATTTTTCTCATCTACCATTTTCCTCATCCGGTGTTCCTAGTAGGCTCTAGTAACACCTGCAGAAATGTACCCTGCCTCTCATATCTCCCAGGGACACACAGTGGGGGCAGGCTGGGAGGAAGATGGAAGGAGTGATAGGTAGTTGGTGTTATTTTGCAAAACTGCCTAACTAGTCCTAAGTGTGGGCCAGAAACGAGAGTGCCATACAGAGCTGTTACTGAGGAGCTGTTGCATCACACCTGGTGAGGGGGTTGAATCAGGCTTCTCTTCCATGTTTCTTGGAGTTTGTCTCTGGAAGTGCCCATCCATGGTTCCAAATTTCCATTTCCCGAGAGAAGGAAACTACTGAGTGTAGCCTTAGTCAGCTGTTCATGTGCTTCCATCAAACACTTGTGGCCTGGAGGCCAGGGCCCCTGGTTCAGATATGGCCTTCATGAACCCTGGCTCTGTTACTGAGGAGGATCCCTGGGTAGGCGCCCACCTTCTCATACAGGTGTGACAGGCTTTGGTGAGACACTACCCTTTCACTTGTTAGGCATGTGGCCAAAGGGACTGAATGGTGTTTGAAATAGTCAGACAAAAGTAGTACTTTAAGGGTCTTCATGGGGCTGAAGGAGCAAAATGGAAAGTGCCTGGTGTGGGTCTCTTTCCCCATGACCAAAAAGTAGAGGTTGTGAAGCAGATCTGGCTTGGGGTGCAGGTCAGTAGAAGATTGTTGAGGGGATTGAGTGACATGCTGTACATGTAAAGCACTAATCCTGCACCTGGTGTGTCGTGTCCTCCCAGTGACTATTGGCACTGCACTGGTACATTTCTAATGCCAACAGCTTCATGAAGTGTTCACATGCCTCCAGACTTAACACAGAACTAGCTGAAGGCAGAATTCAAAGTGACTCTTAACTGGTGGGACAGCCACCTTGCGTGGATAGAAAGCTCACTCATGGGCTCAAGAAAGGAGCTTTTGTGTAAATGTTTCTTTAATTCATTTAATGTTCTCTTGGTTGACTTGACTTTCTGGCATTTCTTGGCTTTGTTTTCCAAGTCACTCACCCAAGGCTGGGCGGCTGTGATTCAGTGGTGCATGTTCTCTCTACTCACCCAGTAGCCTCCTGGAGTGCAGCTGTAAGCCCATTCTTAGGGATGTGAAGAGAGGATGCTAGGCAACCCACTTTTCAGATTGGGTAGAAATTTCAGGTGCTTACGGGGTACATTTGCCCCCAAGCTAAAAGGGCCCTGATGCTGGAAAAGAGCATTAACTGACATCTCCAGAGGTTGGGCTGCTGTCCCAGGCTTGTCCCACACATGACTTAGTTTCTTCATCGGTGGGAGGATTCCAGTTAGCTTGAGAGTTGTGAATGTAAGGTGACTGTGTCCGCGTTGTTACTGTCTTTACTAACTTGAGGCCCTGGTTAGTAAGAACAGAGATGCATGACCTTGAGGTTGAGGACGGGGAATTGACTAGAGCTCCCAAAAAGGATTGCCCTCTATCATTGTATGTTGACATTCATTCATTCGCCTGTCCGTCCATCCATCTATCCATCCATCTGTCCATCAATCCATTGGTCCATTATTTATTGAGTAGCTCTTATTTCATGCCAGGCAGTGTTAAGATACTAGGTCACTAAAGAGTAAAAAACAATTTCAGCCTTCATTGAGCTTACAGTTTATTGGGGAAGACTGAAAACAAGTAAGATAAATAAATAAAATGTAAAGTACCTTTGCACCAGTAGGCCTGGTGTTTCTGGACCCAGAGGGGGGCAGCCTGAAATGGTGTTTTCCTCCCTCTCATCACCAAATATCTGTCATGGCATATATCATACAGCTTCCCCCTATGCAGTGGGCACCACAAGGATAGAGAACCCATTGAGTTGGGTTTCCCATACTTCTCTCATGTCTCATTTGGGGAGAGACATCTGGTAGGCATACGGTGTGTGATAATCAACCATAGGCAGTTCGATAAAGAGGGGAGAAGTATAAAGTCCTATAGGCATCAATTTCCTGAGTCTCTTTCCTGGAATCAGTCTACATGTATTACATAAAAAAATAACCTGTTTTTTAAATGTCCTTTCACCTAACAATGCTATCTGGAAGATCATTTCCTTCTAGAGCTTCCTTATTTTTAAAAACAACTCTCGTCTACTGTATGCACGTACCATGATTTATTTAACCAGTTCCCTAATGATCCTTATGTCATTGTTTGCAATCTTTTGCTTTGATGAACTCTCCATGGTGAGCAGCACTGTTCTTATGTTATTAACACATTTCCTGCAGGAAAATTCCTAGAAGAGGGATTGCCGACTCAGGGCCAAGCACTTGGTATTCACTTGTAAAGTGAGGGCAGCAGTTTGAGGCCCAAGCGTGCACTGATGACCACATGTGGTGGACAAGTCTCCAGTCTCTGCCATCTGCTCAAAGGTTCTTATGGCACCTGACACCACTTCTTTTGTTTCTGTGCCAGGCTGGAGACGTCAAGTTCAATCGTGCTAAGCTCCTCAACGTTGGCTTTCAGGAGTCTTTGAAGGACTATGACTACAACTGCTTCGTGTTTAGTGATGTGGACCTCATTCCCATGGATGACCACAACACCTATAGGTGTTTTCCACAGCCACGGCACATTTCTGTTGCAATGGACAAGTTTGGATTTAGGTAAGGGATGTTCACCAGAGTCTGCAGAAAACCTGTTGCTCACTGGCTGGCGGCTAGGAGATGCAGCTTCTTGGGGTAGCGTGCCTCCTTGGGCTTTGAGGGAGAATGCCTCCTCTGAGAACTTCCTGTTAAACCCAAAGGCAGTTACTGTTTGAGGAGCAAAGTATACCTGTACTCTGCCTGCCCAGACAGGAGTGTTTTTATTGCCTGGGAAGGTTCTTCTGGAATCCTTTCCCCCTAGTATCCTGGGGCCTGGGTGCTTTAGCAGGTCTCTCCTGGCATTTTAAGAAGGAACTTGGTTCAGTTTCCCAGCAGTAAAGAGTTTGAGCTGCTTTAAAGGAAGCCTATATAGTCCACCAAATGCTCCCTGGTGAGGAGGCAACTGCTGCCAGTTCCCAGGCGGAATCAATCCAAAGCATATTGGTATAGGTAGAAAATTGTCTCATAGTCCATTTATTTTATTTTAAAGAATAAATGTGCATTTTGTTTTGTAATTTGCCCATGTTTATATTAACCAAAAATTGTTCTAAATCACCTGTCAGTTGAATAGCCTGACCTTCTCTCCTGCTCTAAGTCAACCCAGAGCCCCACAAAGTGGTGCTGCGCCTGCTCTGGGCACTGGGCTCCCCTGCCATAGGCCAACTCTACAGTGAGACCCTGTGCCAACCAGCCATCCCTTGGTGTAGATATGGTGGGGATTTCCAGGAAGTTATTTCACCTTCTTTCATATTAATTTTATTCTCATAAACCATTCTATCTTCCCTACTTAGGAGCATGGGGGTTGTGAGGTGATTACAGAATTGCTATGAATTCCTTCCCCGAGATCAAAGGTATTCAGGCCCTAAACTTGTTATCTTAAAAGAGGAAAAAAACATAATTCTAAGCATCACTCTTCGCTTTCCTGTCTTCCCTTTCTCCTGCCTCCTCCATCTGTGCATCTTCTCTGAGATACACAGGCTTATACCCCAAACCCTCTCAGTTCCTCCCTGGAAGCATGGCGGTGATCACCTAATTCTTTACCACAGCACCTTATCAGTTTTTCCCCAAACCAGTCAGGCTTGGGAAGTGAGGCAGCTGTTACTAAACAAAGCATCAGAGACAGCAAATCCAAGTCTTGTCAACGCAGCATGTACTTCCCATTGGAGTGGCTAAGTATAAAAACACTGATTATCAGAAAACCTTTTGACCTGGTCACCACTGGTTCACAGCCTCCCATTAACAAGTGGAGATTATAGTGTGAGGTAAACCAAAAAGTGGTTGACTTGGCATCCTAGCAATGTCACTTAATTATGAGTAGACTACCTTCGATTCATTAAAGCAGTCCCCCAGGGATCTTTGCTTGTGGGTTCTTGCAAGTCAGAATTCCTGAATAAATTTGAAAATAATAATTGCACCTTTTGCCCCCATATGTTCTGCCTGGTTTGGCTGGCTGTCCCCTCAAAATCTGAGTTAGAGTTTTCGTTAAATTGTGTGATAGGTTTTGGCTTCCAGTAAGAGCCTGATTGTGGTTTGGCTGTACACAGGGTCGTCACAAACCACATTCCTTAAAAGACCCACAGGCAGGCTTTTCTTTACCGGACCTCTGGGTATGTCCTGATTCTTAACATTTCTCATTAATGCTTACTTTGCATCCCTCTGGAGTCCACAGTTTATAACTGGTGAACTATTGAAATATGAAGAGGTTTGGAATGATGGCAGCCCAGAAGCCTGCTGCTTGAAATGTGTCAAAAGAAATTCAAGATAGAACGTACATTTTGCTAAGTCAGGATATGGTGGGGATTTCCAGGAAGTTATTTTAGCATATTTTCAGATATGTAACCTGACTGTTGGAGTCCATGTTCAACCCAGTACTTTTAGGAGAAATGAAAGCTAGAGTGGCAGAGGAACTGGGGAGCGGGGGGGGGACATGATAGGGAGGCTCTAGACAGTCTTGAGTCCAGGACCGCTTGTGAAGGCTGACTAGGCAGGAATGAGTGAGAACAGGAAGCAGGTTCATGAGGAGTGCACGAAAGCTGTCATGGACTGATTTTCTAGATAACCACAGAAGCAACACTGTATTCTTAGAATGATGAAGAATGCCTTTTGATATCATTTGTGTTCTTGAATATCATCTGAGTCTACTATGAAAACAAAACCAACTTAAAGGAAACTCTCACAAATTAAAAAAATCCCAATGACTTGGAATGCCAATGAATTAAATTCCAATTAATTAATTCCAGCTAATCACCAATTTAAAAGTCCCAGAGAATAACAATTACTGTGGAAGAGCTTCACACTAATCATTGACTCCCACGTGTGTGTGTGTTTTTTTCCCCAGCCTACCTTATGTTCAGTATTTTGGAGGCGTCTCTGCTCTAAGCAAACAGCAGTTTCTCACCATCAATGGATTTCCTAATAATTATTGGGGCTGGGGAGGTGAAGACGATGACATTTTTAACAGGTAATGGTCACAATTTAGATCTTATTCTTCCCTGTCTCCCTTCACATCGGTTTTTCAATAAGTGTTTGGTTATTGTGCCAGGATTGACCCTGGGGGATGGGGAAGGAAGGGTATAGTGTCCACTTTGCCCAAATTCCTAGATGTGACCTGCTACCTGGTCTTTATGATTTTTGCATTAGCCTTGGAGAGTGAAGTGAGAACCACGTGAAGGGTGAGTCTACTTGGATATGCCACCCAACCCCTTTAGTAGTGAGGGAATAAACGTGTGTCCTTTGCAAAAGCTCAGCTTCTCATTGTGGATCTGTGTGAGTATAGAACCAAGTTTCTTTGGGCAGGAGCCTAAGTATTTTTGACATACACAAAAGAGGTCAACAGCCATCACTCCATGACCTACGCACCCACCTACACCCTGGGGCTTCTTGGAAGCCAGTAAACTTTTATCACGTACCTGTCTCTGCAAAAGGTCAAAAGTCATCTGTCAGTGGCATGTGAATCCACACTTGGCCTAGCTCTCCCTAGTAGTGGAGGACTTAGTCCTGCCAGCTGTAGGTAAGAAGCAACTTCTCTTTCTGGGAGCCCATCTGAACTCATCTCTGGGTTTGCCATCAGAATACACGCTGGTGCCGTCCTCAGTGGAAATACATGAATTTGATCAGTTAATAGGAGAAGTCTGTCAAGTCATGCAAGGTGTAATAGGAGTAGTCCCCAAGTCATGCAAGGTGAACTTTGTATGAGAACGTGACATAAACCCGAATCTTTAATAAAGGCCTTGAAGAAAACTTCAGGTTTAGAATATGAAGGCTGGTTATCAGGCATGCACTTATTGGGTGTCTTCTGCATGCAGAGCACTGTGCCAAGTAGACCCAATGGGGAGGACACCAAAGACTTAAAAGACACTGGGCCCAGCTAAAAATAAACTTGCCTTCATAGCACACACCTGGGTAGAGCCTGAGTGTGCAGGATGGTGTTCAGGACTGATGTGACGCCATAGGCCTGAGTGGTCAGAAAGGCCGGGGACAGGGAGTACTGAGGGTGGAGGCCTTGCAAAGGTAGAGGGACTCTAGAAGGATTAATGGTTTTCTCAAAAGCTGAAGGACCCAGCTCTTACTGTGCACCTGCTGATCTTCATGCGCAGAGTACTACACAAGGCCCAGACCAGCCAGTCCTGCTTCTCAACTCACTTGAGTTTTCCTCCTGTCATGCTTTGCCCCCAGCCCTACCCCAGCCCTACCCAGAACCTTCTACCCACTCCCTGTTGGCTCTAGTCTTGTTCCCTGATCTCCATTCTTAGATTGCTTATCAGGGGACTCCTTTATCAAAAGCCTTTGGGAAATCCCACATGCTGTATTCCATTCAGACGCTGACATTGTTCTTTGGGACGCTAAGAGCTCTGAGAAGGCTTCCACAATTTAGTCTTTATACTTCTTTCTAGCCTCAGCTCTCACCACTTCCTGTCCCAAACCCTTTCTACCAGTCTTCCTGCAGCCACTGTGCTTGCTCTCACCTCCCTGCCTTGGCCACTCAGAATGCTCTGGCAGACACCAGTGCATTGGCTCTGCCTGGTCCTCTCTCCTACAGTCCCACTCCCCCCCCCCCATCCTGGCACTGTTCTAATACCTGCACTGTAAGTTCTAAGAGGGCAGACACCCCCAGAGGCTGGCATGTAACAGTCACCAATACTAGAGGACCTCGGACAGCGGGGAGGTATGAGTTTTAGGCAGGGCCACGCCGGGCTGGGGTAGGGCCATATGAGCACAGTGAGCAGGATGGCATTTGGGGCACTGGTCTTGCAGCTGGGGCTGTCGGACCAAGGCTGTGGCAGCACTGTGATGATGATGTACCCCTTTACTCTTCGCAGATTAGTTTTTAAAGGCATGTCTATATCTCGCCCAAATGCTGTTGTCGGGAAGTGTCGGATGATCCGTCACTCAAGGGACAAGAAAAATGAACCCAATCCTCAAAGGTGCGTTTTATGTTTCTTTCTAGTCCTTCTTCCCCTTCTAATGTGGGGTAGGCTTCAGGAGTGAGGCTCTGGAAATGGTTCTGTGCCTCCAGGGAAAGGGAGGTTTCAGCTGATGAGGTGAGGATAGAGTAGAAGGGGGTGGGGAGGTGGGGAACGACGAAGTATCAGGGTTCAGTGTTTTTTCCCCCTAAGATTTTTGACTTGACATCAACCCCTTGCCCCCCTTTTTTTTCCTGTGTAGGTTTGACCGAATTGCACACACGAAGGAGACAATGTTCTCTGATGGTTTGAACTCACTCACCTACAAAGTGTTGGACAAAGAGAGGCACCCATTGTATACCAAGATCACAGTGGATGTCGGGTCACCCAGCTAGCACCTTGGAAGAATAATAAGAAACCTGAAAATGACCAGGACTTCTGCTGTGTTCTGCCAATCTGCTGGGCTGGTCCCTCTCATCTTTACCAGTGTGAGTGATAGGCCCCTTCACTCACCATGCAGAAGCCTTGCCAGATGACCAGAGTGGGCGATCCACCCCCAGCTTGGCTGAGCATGTGACATCCTAGCTCTACAAGGTGTTTGTAAGTGTAGAAGCTGTCAGCCTTTGGGGCACCCCTGGCATGTACACAGTGTCAGCCCAAAGAGTCAGATCTGGGCACAGCCCAAATCCTTGTGACTGTGGGACTCATTCTCCATGATAAACTGATAATTTGTTGTAACATAAGAATTTTGCTTTAAATTGTGGTATTATTACTTTATGAAAAATTGGAAAGTGCTGCTGAAGTTGAACCAATGTGATTTTTTTTGGTTATCACATTTTAACAGGAAAACACAAGATCTCAACCATTCTCATTTTATGCCCTCACCCCCCACCTTCAGTGCTATGCCACTGTTACAATCACTTGTGTGTGTGTGTGTGTGTGTGTGAATTTTTTAAGCAAGTGAATTTTAAACTTGAGCCTTGGATCTTTTTGCCTGCTCAAAAGTATGAGTTCCAAGGCAACTTTAGCCATCAAAGCAAAAGCCTCGAGTGTTCTCACATTCAGTGGCCTTTCTCCAGATTGTCTGATTTCTGAATGTAAAGACTTTTTTAAAATAGCAGTTTGTAGTATTTTAAAGAGAGATCAAATCAGGTTCTAATTCTGATCTAGCTTGATTGTGTGTTGATCCAGACTTGTGTAGCTGTTTAGTGTCATCATGGCAGTTTCTTTTCTGAGCATGCTATGTAAACTTGAACTTACTATGTATTTTTATTGTGATGTTTTAAATATGGGGAGGGGATTGAACATTTTTTAGGGGAAAAATAATGTATGTTGTAGTGGCCACAAATGGGCCTCTAATATAGCTGACAGGCCAGGTTTTGTGAAGAGTACATCATCACCTTTGCCTCCTCAATGAGGGCAAAGCCTGGCCAGCACTATCCTGTCGGACCTCGGGGTGGGGGCAGAAGCCTGCTGGGCAGAGCTCTCCACCTTCCCCCACCCACCCCAGTGGGCAGGGAAGAAACTCCACCTGCACCCACCTGGACCTCCTATTAGGGACATGGAGTTGTGGCAGCAGTCAAGTTGTTTACCAGCCCCTTACCCTGGAGACCACCTCTCTGGGGGGCGCTGCTGGCCACACTGCCTGGCCCACCTTGCATGACCAATTCTTCCTTCCTCCTCCCCCTTCTTGTTCTTTTGCTTCTAGCAAGTTCCCTAAAACTTGCCTGTGACACTCAGGGTCAAACAGACTATTCATTATCCAGCATGAATGTGCCTTTTAATTAGAGGTGTAGAAAGAAATTCATCAGGACTCACCCATGCTCCCCCCGTGACACTCTGGTGCCTGAAGCTTCCCATTTCCTCTCAGGTTTTTAGCAGGTTTCCCTCTCCAGGGAGGCTGACCCAAGGGGTCATCTTCCCCAAACCATCTTTGCCAGGAAGGGTACTGCCTGTGGTGAGATGCCCAAGGCAATTCCTACCGCTAAGCACCCTTGCAGGTCCAGCCTAGGGTAAGGGCATAAGACTCGGCTGAGTAATTCTGACCTTCCAGCTGTGGCATCCTGGACCCCCCACCACTGACCTTGGCACAGAGGCTGACCTGGCGCCTGGCCCAGTCTTACCGGTGCCTTTATCGCTTTGAGCATCTTAGATGCTAACTTGGTTCTTTTTCCAGAAGCCTTTCTATTAGTTAAGAATTATTTTTACACTGCAGAAGCAGCTGGGCTATACAGAGAGTATTCCTTTGGTCAATACCATCCCCCCACCCCTGCCTTAAAACTATGTTAGTGAAGTTCAGAGTGGCTGCATGGTGAGGGAGTTTTGGGAAATGTAAAGAACGAAGGGCCCTCTTTCCTTCCCTGCATCCTGACTTCTCCAAAGTGCCTTATGAGAGAGGAGACAAAAACCCTGGGTGGTAACTTGTTATTTTATTGTTGAAACTTTTTTTCTTGCTTGTTTTCCTGTTACATTTTCCTCTATGTTCAGTTGGAATAGTCAATCATATGGCTTATTTCCAGGAGAATCCGTCTCACCTTTTCCCCATTTGCTGACCTTCCATTGCCCTTGAGAGTGGGAGAGGGCCCAGGCTGTGCCTGGACACTTGCCTACTTCCTCAAGTGCTGTCAGTTCTGTAATTTCCTCCCCGGAGAGTTCAGGGCCGAGGGTTCAGGAAGCATTTCTTTCACCTGGAAGTCATCACCGTGAAGTTGTCACGTGCTGTGCCTTTCTCTGTTTCTCTCCTGTTGCTAGTGACCCTGTGAAGTGGCCTTTGGGAAGGACCAGAGGGCAGAGGTGGTACCTTGGAGGAAATGCTGGTGCTGGCCCTAAGCCTGGACAGGCCCTCCTGTTGACCTCAGGGCTGGATGTGGGACGCCCCACACAGCCACGCCTTCATCTTTCCTGTCCTATACACCTGTCGTGCTGTATATTTTCATTTCCTGTGTATACAGATATGTGTATTTACCATTGTTCTGGGGAGGGAGAATGTCTGATCTTGGTGTTCAAAACAAAACTGTATTTTTGCCTTTAAAATCCAAATATAACATGAATAAATGAACCCTATCTTTGTAACTGCAGGTGATTTATTTTCTGATTTAAGGGGCAGGTGGGCACCTATGGAGGATGAGTAGATCCTCCCAGGTGGAATGTTTGCTGCTGGTGACAGATGGATGTTTTGAGAGGAGGGGTGGGGAGATGTTGAGGAAATGAGAAGCTGACTGAATTCTAGGGGTTACCAAATCTTTGCCACACACCCAAGCTCCCCTCCTCTTGGTTCTAGAAGTTGGGGGTGTGGACATTCCTAGGTTCTGGTTTCTTCTTAGGACTTGGAACTTGCTCTATTAGAAAGGAAATGAGGTTTGTCTGGCAGAGCTGATGATGCTAGACATGCCCCATTTCCTTTGCTGGCAGAGTCTCCAGGCAGAGAACGTGGCTGCTGCCTTTTGTGGACTCTTAAGACCTAGGCGTGGGCTGTGAGGTATGATTTTCATGGCAAGTTACAAGATCAATATGATAAAGGTCAGCAAGGGCATTACAATTGGCCAAGGACAGGCCCAGTCAATTCACTGATCACTGAGTTCTTCACCTGCATGCACATTTGCAAGACCACTCAGGTTCAGAGAACAGTAATGGGATTTATTTAACAAATAAGGAATAAAAGAGTCACTGAGGCCACAAATGGCAGTTTACCTCACCCAAAGCAGTGTCCAGCATTGTAAAGTCCTAAACACAAATGTTCCCAAGATGGTGTCTTCCTGACACTACAGAAGCAGAGCATGTGGCAGCCAGACAATACACTGGGATCCAGCTCACAAAGACAACAGAAGACAACAGGAGATGCTCCCCAGAGCTGCCAAGATGCCCCAGTGCAGCACGAGATAATTGACGCTCAAAGCAGCTGCTGCAGCAGCCAAACGCTCTGACAAACGGCCACACACGGTTCAGCGAGGCATGTGGCTCTGGGTCTTTGCCTTCCCTTCCAGGCTGTAATAGCAGCAAAGCCGGGAAGTTTAAGTTACTCAGTTACTTGTAAACCTGTGAACTTTTCTTCTCTGAGGTTGGCTGCTGGAAGCCTTTCCATGTTACTCAGAGGCACTCCACAACCTTCTGGAAGATGGGGACAGAAATGGCTGATCCCAGAATCCTTGAAGATCCAAAAAAGCTGAACTCCCGAAAACAGAATCCCGGGGGCTGCTTCTCTTTATATTTCTCATCAGAGTCTCTGTCTCCACAGATGTGTTTGTATTTCACTGGGGGCTATTCATCCTCACTAACACCTCCGTCCAGGGGATGCCACCTGTAACAGTCTCGCTTCAGCGCCCCATCCCCACCCCCACCCCCATTACAAATAGACCAGAAACCTGAGAAATATGGCACTCCAAGAACATCTGTGCTGGAGCAAGATGTGTTGACCAGGTCAGCAAGTGGGGGCAGGGCCTGAGAAAACTGCCAAGCAACCATATAAACAGTGATAATTACTTCTGGATCTCCCTTCCTTGCCACTTGCTGTATGACTCTGGGAAAATCGGTTCCCCTCTCTGGGCCTTGGTTTGCCCTTCTGTTTTAGTTTGCTTTCAGAATCCACCCTTTCTTTCCTTCCTGCATGGGGCAGTGCTCTGATCTTGGACTTTCTCTTGTCTTAGAAGCTAACCCCTTATGTCATCTTGAAGGACTTTATGCCCCTGTCTTCAGTTGTCAAAACAGCAGAACTACCCTGCTTACCTCCCCCCCACCCCCACCCCCAGTGTGCCTTGATCATGGATGGAGTGGTAAAGCTGTCTGCCTGGTGGGGATGGGCTGGGATGTCTTTCTGCTTCCTGTCCTGCCTGAGACTCTTCTAGGATCAGGGCAGATTCCTCTCACCTCTTCTCCCCCTTCAAAACTTGGGCTTCCTGGGCCTGCTGGAGCAGCAGGTTAAAGCACAGCACTGTGAAGCTGTCCACAGCCACTGCAGCACTGAGTTGGATCCCTGGTGGGGGAGAGGGGAGTGAGGAGGATGGGGGTGAGGGACCCACATGGCAGAGCAGACCACTTCTGGCCTGCCTGCTACTCCCCTCAGTGGTCTATTTCAGTTGATCTACCCATACTGTTCCCTACTTTGTTTCTGGCGAATACTCTCACACCTCTGGCCAGTACCCCAGTTCTTGTATGCAAAATAAATCTTAACAAAAGAACTTGGGATTCCTGTCATCCCTTAGACCTGAGAGAGAAGTATAGGGTTGGGCATAAGAGAGCTGAGCCTCTGCTTGTGGGGAAAGAATGCAGGATTACATGTGATGTCGGAGCTATTTCTGCACCCACACTCCTTACCCTGTGATAAAAGGCCTTGGGATTTCCTTACCTGAGGAAGTCTCTCTGTGGAAATGCAAATCAAAATCACTATGAGATACCACCTCATACCTACTAGTGTGGCAATTACCAAAAAACAAAATTACAAGTGTTGTTGAAGATTGGAAAAACTGGAATCCTTATGTATTGCCAGTGGGAATGTAAAATGATACAGCTCCTTTGGAAAATAAGTGATGTGATAATTCCTCAAAAAATTAAACAGAATTACCATATGATCCAGAAATTCCACTTTGGGGTAGAATTTCAAAGAATTGAAAGCAAGGGCTAAAATAAATATTTGTACTTGCATGTTCATACCAGCCTTGCTCACAATAACAAAAAAGTGGAAGTGATCTAAGTGTCTATTGCTAGGCAAACAAACTGACATATATGTGCAATGGCACTGAGGCAGTCTTTAAAAGGAAAGAAATTTTGACACATGCTTCAACGTGTGTCAGACAATCCATTAGGTGAAATAAATCAGTCACAAAAGGACACAAGGTGAGTTGTCTCCTGTGGTTCAGGGGTTGAAGTCTCAATGTTATCAAGATATCACCAGCCACTGCAGTGTGAGTTCCACCCTGGCCAGGGAGCTGACACACATGGCACAGCAGACCTTGCCTTTGCCTTCTGCTCCTCTCAGCAGTGTATTTCAGTAAATCCACCTGTTCTGCTCCCCACTGTCTCTGGTAAATCCTCATCCTCTCATCCCTGCACTGCTTGCCTACACCCCAGTTCTTGTGTGCATAAATAAATAAAAGTAAATCTTAAAAAAAAAAGGACATAAGGATTCACTCACTACCTAAAGTAGTGAAATTTATAGAAACTGGAAGGAAGGTGACAGGGGCATTGGGGAGAGAGAAGAGAGGGGAGAATGAGGAGTAGTGTTTAATGAGTAGTGAGTGCAGTTTCATTTGGAGCTGGGTGGGGGTGATGTGTGCACAACAACCGGAATGTACTTAATGCCATGGATCTGTACACTTAAAAACTGGATTAAGTGGGTGGAGAAGAAGCCTGGACTCAGGCAAGATCTCAGGAAAGGGGGGCAAGGAAGCCTATTCCCATAGTGCCTACTGGCTTCTCAGTGACTATTCGTGGAAAGTAGGGGTTGAGCCTGAGTCTTCTTAAAAGAAATGACAGGTAGAGGCCAGAGTACATCTGGGATGAAAACAGTCATCTAGACAGGTTGTTTCCATGGGGAGGAAGGCCCTTGGGTGTCAGGAGAGCGAGGCAGAGTCCTGTGTTAAATCCTGGCATTTAGAGGGTGGGAGGGACACTTGGTGTTGGCAAGAAGGGGGAGTACCCCCATGTTGCTACATCAGTGCAACCTTTCTGGGAATCAACTGGAAAGAATTAAATCTTAAAAATAGACTGTTCTTTGACCTCACAATTTAGCTTCTAGGAATTTATCAAAAGAAAACCATCAAGTTCATGGACGAGGATGTATGTACCACAGTGTTTATTTACCCTGTGTTGCTTATAACACTGAACACTTAGAAGTTCACCAGCAACAGGGGACTGTGCTAAGTGAAAACAAGCTACATCAAAACAATTAAGTGTTATGAGACCATAGAAAATGATGAAGTAGATCTATATTTATTGATTGCAAAGAGGTCTAAGGGAGAAAGCAAACTACAGAATGGAATTTCCATACATGGTAGGGAAATGTATAAATAATTTAATATAGAAATTATTCTGTGGAAGCAGATGCACAAACAATAAAATTGGAAATGAACTTCTCTTCTTTGAACAGACTGTGCAACCAAGCTGCCATTGTGGGATACCTTTAATGTTTCAGAGATTGCCTGGGCACCTTTTACTGTGTTGGCCCCATCCTCTCAGACTTGGAAGGGCTCATCCAAATCATTCACAGGTAGAGGCCTGTGCCCTGTTCACATGAAGTGGAAGATGGGACATGGCATGTCATGGGAACGTTTGTAGAGGCTGGTTGACTTAGGCTGGGAAACTCCTAGCAATTCTCTCAGACTTAGAAAAATAAAGTTAGGACATTTTTTTTAAGATTTTTTAAATTCATTTATTCATACAGAACTAGGGTACAGCCAGACAGAGGTGCAGGGGCAGTGAGAGGATTCACCAGAGTCAGGGGAGCAGAACAGGCAGATGGGCAAGTACACTGCTGAGGGGAGTAATAGAGAAGACAGAAGAGGTCTGCAGTGCCATGTGGATCACCTCCGAGCCCGGGATGGAACTCTCACCAAAGCAGCAAGACCAGCTTTGTAGTGCTGTGCTTTAACCCACTGCATCACCAGGGAGGACCAGGACATTTTTTTAAAGATATGTTTTATTTATGTATACAAGAGCTGGGGTGTGGGCCAGAGGTTCTTGTCACTCTTGAGAGCAATGGAACTTTAATTGGGTTGGTTTGAGGCACCTGATCAGGGCCCAATAAGCAGCATGAACCCAAGACACAGTGAGGGGGACCCTCCTGTCCATGGATTTTTGGCCTCAGGATACATGAGTCCTATTGTGGAAGGAGATGCTGTCATCTGCATTTTGACACAGACCCAAGGCTGAAGCTATCATAGACTCATTTCCGGGCTGATGGGAAAACCAGTCAGCCTGCCTATTCTCCTGGACTTGGTTTCTGCTTGAGAGGCATGTTTCAGGAAGGATGAAAACCAGGTCATGGCTAGCAAGAGTGCACACTTCAACATTTGAATCCAACTGGTAGGGTTCCAAGAGCTGTTCACCCAGCCCTGTGGCACC